CCATTCCCTTTCGAGCTTCCTCCTCCGAATACATCCACGTAGAAAGTGGCGTAATAGTAGCACCGACGCTACTAGTACCAAACTGTAGTTGCGTTTGACCACGTTCAAGAAGCCCATGTTTGACCGCACATGCTTTGTAATGACGGTTGAGGTGAATGGTTCCAATGCCTTTTTGCCATGCCAGTCGTTGACAGTATTTACATACTGCTTTGGTTTCTGGAAGTCCATCGATTAATCGACCAACGTTAACCAATTTGAAATGGTCCCAACATTTTGCCTGCTTCTTCCCCTTTCCCTTCCTTCTTGCATCGGGAATATTTAATGCAGGTTCTTCATCTTGTTCCAAATCAATAAGAACACTAGGATCAACATTAACGTCATTCAAATCAATTGGATCGGGATGACTACCTTCACGAACATCGAAATCTTCAATGTCTTCTGAAATTGGTAATTCATTGAAACCGGCAAATTCATTCCCAAATTGATTTTGGGCAGGTATTTCGCCTTCCATACCGAACAAGTTTTCAACAAATACTCGTGGATCCATTTGTGAATTGTAAAAATTGAATGTAGAAAATAGAATGTAGAAATGTAAAATTGAGAAGTGAATGAAGATTATGCACTAGTGTATAAAATGAGTTGTAAAATTAAGATAATAATGTAAAAAATGTAAAAGAAAATTATATGATAAATAAATGATATTATTGATAATGATTTGTAAATTGTGGAGAGTATATAATGAAAGTTTGGTGGGGAAAAAATGTTGTAATGGGTTGAGTATTTATAGGAGAAGAAAAGTAGAAAAATAGGAATTTTTTTTTTTTTTCAAAGTGACCATTCTGGTTACTGATTCAATTATTATTTTTTAAATATACGACGAGCCCACGAGCCTAGCTCGTGGGCTCGTTTCACGAGCGGCTCGCCGAGCCGAGCCCGCCCACCTGCCCGCTCGACTCGTGCTCGAGCTCGTCTTTTGACTAGTTCGAGCGGCTCGTGGGCGTGAACAGTACGAGCCGAGCGGGCAAGCCGACGAGCCCCTCGGCTCATTTGCCCGCTCGGCTCATTTGACACCACTAAGTGGGGGATGGATTTATTATTGGCCACTCATGATTAAAAACTTGCACTGATAACACCGGATTTATACAAGATAACATATCCGTTCCCACCTTTCAAGCCTTAGCAAAGCCCTCGTTGGACCGTAGAAGGTTCTTATCTCCTTTTAAAACATCTGCCATTTGCATTTTCTTAATTCAATCTCTCCCGTTACCAAGTTGGAAGTGGCAATAGTTTTACTTTAACAGACAGATAATGCTGCTGCAATTATCTGAGGGGAAAATGGAAGCCAGTAATAACTGGTAATTATAAAACCTGGGAGTGTAGTCCCACATAGATCACGAAAAATACTCATTTTCACCAACATAAGCATTTTTAGGGAAACTTGTGGTCAGCGACTTAATGAGATACTTGTAATTATAAAACCTGGGAGTGTAGTCCCACATAGATCACGAAAAATACTCATTTTCACCAACATAAGCAGTTTTAGGGATACTTGTGGTCAGCGACTTAATGAGAATATATTCATTCTCTCCTGAGGAAAGGATTTAAATCCTTTTATCTGTATAGCATAAAAATAACATCCAATCATTTAATCCAATTATCTAATACCGTTCACAATTTTCTCTCGATTAAAAAATTCTAAAACTATTGCATCCTACCTGGTGTGGCACCAAGTGTACCTACTGACCTAAAGTGGCAACTGCCAAGGTGACTCGTCATTGATATCCACATATCAATCAACCATCGATAAGAGGGTCGAGGAACCTCATCATGTCAATAGGAGTTCACACAGAGACAAAAGACAGTCAAGCTCGACTCTTTTAAGTTTTTGATGGCTGAACTCATCACAGCTGTTTGGAAGTTAAAATTTACCTCCATTGAGCAAAATCTATAAATAATTTATAAATGATCATTTTTATCACACATTGCAATAAATCCATAAGTACTATCCACTTATTTCTATCATTTTTTAAATTAAACCGTTCATAAATTCTTCCAAAATGGAGCCTTAAACATGTTTCTTGTGAAACTGACCCTAGCTCTTAAACTTTTTCTACTCACAAGAAAAGATACAAGGATGTTTAGAAATGAGAATCTACTTGAGAATAAATGTGACCTTGAAGCTTATCCAAACAGTTGTTATTACAATAAGAAAGTAAATGGGCTTCTTTTCAAGTCGGGAGCAGATGGAAAACTTTGCAATGGCTGGGCTCATAACAGCAAAAACAATTTTCATTTTACCAATGATTCAATGTCCAAAAATAAGTCGTAGCTATTGTTAAGTTCATTTAGCACTGTTGCATTCTTACTGCAACTCAGACACACACTAGAAACTCAAACTTGAGCATCCAGAATTTAGATGACTTCACTTGTAATAATCACTAATGTCGTTTATTTAAGCAATCTATTAGTACAAATAAAGATAATATCCCTCAGCATTGTTAATCTGCATTAGCAGTTCAAAAGTTGTAGGCCTGTATTAAAACATTTAAAAGCTTGCATATGGTTGTTTTTTAAAACATTTATAAGCTTGCATATTTGCACCATAAGTTCACAGATAGCAAACGATACAGAACAACAACAACCCTTCCAATACCAAAAATTGTTGTAATAATAAGCACAAAATTTCAGCACCATATTGCACTCAAATACTTGAAACTTTTCTATCATAAGCCATCAAGAATTAACAAACGGATAAAGAGAAATTCAAAACCTTTCTGCCAGGCGTGCAGACACCGCCCTCAGCTTAGAGTAAACCTTCCCTGCAGGCGATCCTAAAATTAAACTGCAGAGAGAGTCTCTTGCCACCTTAATATTAGAAAAGGAGCCGAGTATATGAATCTTGGTATCAGCAATTACAATCCTCGTCTTGGTTGCATTCTCGATTGCAAACTTGGTTTTCCCTCCCTTACCGCTCAACCTCCCAATCGCCCGGGACAAATGCTCCCCTCTCAGAGTCTTCACATCCTTAATCTCGAAAGATTCAACATAAAGCTCGTCCAATCGAAGCAATGCCACAGCATCGATTACATCAAATCCGAGCATGAAAGCGTGCACAAAGTCTGCACATTTCTGGAGGTTGCTAACATCGGGAGTGTCTTGCCGGGTCTTCAATTCAACCCGTCGGGCCTTGAGGTTCATCCGGATATCAATTTTCATGTGTTCATAGATAGGCGTATAGATTTCCATCCAGGCTTTCTTCAGTGGGGTGTAGCGATGAGGCGGAACGAGGACTTTGCGGAACTGGATTTGTCCGTCGGAGATTTCGTGAGCTTTTAGGGGCTTAAAGTTGGGCTTTTGGGCGAAGGGTACGGTGTTCGTTGCAGCGGGTGGAGGCGGGTGGACAGCAGCTGTTTCAATATCCATTCCGGCAGCGGTCTCTCCGCCGTTTACGGTGGCTGAGCTCATTTTAAGGAATATTGAGGGAAAAAAAGAGAAACAGTACAAAATAAAGAAGAAAAACGTTGAATTTCTCTCTGAGATGCAGATGCAAGAATTTGTTATAAACCTCCGTTTGGACGAACGCTAGAGAGCACTAGGGTTCAGAGAAGCGTAAACATAGAATAGCGACACCTGTAAATAAGGAGAAATAATTGGTCCGGGCTGGTGGAGGTTTGGCCCAGTTTACCTTTGGGTTAAACTTATGGGCTATATATTTGAGCCCAATAGAATTCTCCCCCTAGACAACATTGGGCTTCACATTGGTGGGTCTCTTCTCTAGTGAGATGCATTATGTATACGTGATGTATAAATCAAGTATTATTTTACGATCATAAATTTTACAAGTCACAACTTATTTCACGATTACTGATATGGTCATAATCATTCATCTCGAGCTTTGAAGTCTTGAGGACTGATATATGCTAACTTGGACTCATCACCATCGAGTTGATGCAGTCCTCTCGATGACTGGCATTAGAATTTCTACAATACTGTGGTGATGACACCCCCCGGATGAGTCCTCAAGATTTTTTGACCCATGTGCGATGTGTCCACGAGCACTTTCCTTTGTCAAACTCAAAGTTCGAATGATTCAAAACCTATCCAAACAAGTCAATTGAATACTCATATGTCTAATAGAAGTCTATCTCTGCAAGCGTTACAATCAAATTATGACTAGACTTGTAGTTGTAATCCAATACTCATCTTAAGTAGTACTTTTAAAGATAAGGATACATAGCTAACCAAGTCCTACCAGGAATGAGCTACCTACATCTATAAATACAAAGCTTCTATGCATTATTCAGATACACTTTCACATAATTTTCAGTTTATAGCCTCATGCATAAATTCTCCATTTGACTTAAGTATCAGAGGGACAACGAGTACACACATCGACGCATTTGTTTCAGGTACCGAAAAATCTTGTTCATGCTCATTCCTAGTCGTTCAGCTCGAAAATCTATAAGTGTGATTTTTGGTAGCATCAATCACAAACTATCAAATTCATTAGTTTCAAGTTGTTTTTCGATCACAAATTATTAAATTAATTGATCACAATTTGATAAATTATGAATCACGATTAAAAATTTAGTCGAAATCTCACATTTTTTATGTCACATTATTTATTGATCACAAATTATCGATTTCATTAATCACATATTATTTATTGATCACACATTAACCAATTTATTGGTCACAATCAATCAAAAAATTGGTCACAAACACTCTTCCCACCACCACCACAACACTACCGTCGGCACCACCACTCCACCGCCACAACCTCACCAGCACTGCCAACATAGTCAGCACCATCGTCGTCAATTGCAAATACCACAAACAAAACCCATCATAAACCACTGCAGTAGCTTGAGCCATTGCCAGAGCTCTCTGTTCCCCGTTCCCACCTCCACCTCCTCCTCCTCCTCCACCTCCACCTCACCAATAAAATCATCGTCGCTGTCAATTCAACCGTCCAATTAGCAAACATAATAATCTTTAATTGAAATGTGAACATTAAGTTAGTTAAATATTTATTTTGTAGAAGTATTTAGAGATTATTTGATTCTTCTAACGCTCACTGAGAGAAACTATATAAACTATATAGCACTTTTCTTCTTGGTAATATAAGTTTTCATAAGAAGACTTTCCTCTCCTTATAGAGTTAGCAAAATATTGCAAAGTTAGAACATGTCTACAGTTATTTTTATTAGTCACTTGAAAACATTTATTTTATTTTTTTAAACATGTAGAGAAACTTAATTTAAATATAATAAGATTACTGCTAAAATAATTCTTGCTCAAATGAAAGTTGAATCTACATTTCATAAAAATGTGTTTTATTCATAGAAGGAAGCAATTTGATGAAAATGTGAATGATGAGATAACATATTCAGCTGAAGAATGATTGATTATTTTTTATATATAGTTGATGAGGCTCTCTCTTCACTTAAGTTAAGATTTGAACAATTTTTTTGAAGTGCGAGATTTTGATATTGATAGGCAAAAATTATTTTTTGAGCTGGAAATTGGGAGACAATGTTTGCAAGAAGAGATCAGGAAGGCTATTGAAGTGTTGGACGATATAAAAACAGACATTTTCTAAATGTGTTGATTCTTATAGAATATTATTGACTTTTACCAGTTATAATTACATTTGCTCCAAGGAGTTTCTCAAAGTGGATGTGAATGAAATCTTACTTTCGGTCAAAAGTGTTACAAGAAAGATTGAATGAATTGATCATTTTGTCTGTTGAAAAATAAGTTTTAAAATACATTGATTGTAATAGCATGATTATTGATTTTCTATTAAAAATTCTAGAAGAGTAAATTTAATTTTGACATTCGAAAGTTTTTTATTATTATCTTCATAATTTTGAGTATTTTATTTTTAAAAAAATTATTATTTTTATTATATAATTTTAAATATTTATAGGATTCCATATTTGAAGTTGGCCTAAAGTTCCCGAAATTTAAGGGGCGGTCCTGTGTATATGGTTAGTGTGTCTATTTTACATTAATTGAAGATACTCAAAAGCCTTTTTGACACATTCTTTGTACTTAGATAGAAAGTGATATCTTCGTTTTGACATTGTTGAAGTTGTAAAATAATTCATTATGTGAAAAAGCTTCTACAGTTTGTAAGTTTTGAAAATATGTTAGATGACGCATTCTCTACTTATCATTAATCGAATGTGCTCCTCCAATAACAATTTTGAACGGGGCTTTGAGAATAGAAAAATATCAACAACAAATTCCAACATTTGACAAGTATTGCACCTTAATTGGTCTCCAACATTCAAAAGTAAGTATTTATCTCTCCAAAACTCAACATTATGTAGACATTAATATGGATTAGCTCTTTCTGGTGGTGGTGGAAGGTAGAAGAGTATATAGTGGATTGAGGAAAGAGACGTCAGATTTCTTTTTTTCTTTAACTTATTTCTATTCTTTTGATTTAATTTTAAAAAAGGGCATAACCGTCATTTCAACATGAAAAGGCATTTTTTAAAAGTCAAATGGATAATATCCATTAGTTAGGGACCTCAATGCCACAAGTTTAAAAGGTTGGGGGACCCAAGTGCCACATTTCGTGGGCTGACGTCACACTGAACAAAGATTGAGGCCTCCACCTGGAATTTACGCAAATTATAATAACTTTTGAAACTTTGAAAGACACGAACATAAATAAAGACTCAAAGGCAAAGGAGAAAGACAAGCCTCAACAGTTGAGCTGCTACTTAAGAATACAGAGCAGATATCGTAATAGTCAGAAGCTCTCAACATAACTTCAACGTCTAAAAAGGCAACTAGAAGGATGTCAATCTCATAAGAATTAATCCATTTTCTTTAGAAGCATGAATGAGCAGAGATGGCTAATCCCATATTGTGTATGATAAACAGTACCTCAGGCTTTAACATTTACCCTTCAACTTCAATCCTTCCTACACGCTCACTTCCTGCCAAGTCAACCAGCCATAAATGGCTCCTCGTCCTCTACCCAGTTACTAAATCTCTGCCACAACAGTCACTCGCAATAAACTGCAATAGAAATAATTAAATAAAATTAACAGATAACCCCAATATACTAAGAAACTAAATTCTGTTTGAAAATGATTAAGTGGATATGCTTTCACATCATTACTCAATCTAAAATTTGTTTCAGTTGTGAAAAAATAGATAGATTAACCGAGAAAAAGATATATAGAAGCTACTAAAAATTATTAGTGAGAACAACTGTCGAATTCATTTACATTGGTGGATCCAACAGATCTCACTCGGCTCCCGGACTTGAGAAGTTCCCAAACATCATCTGTATTGTATACACGAGCTTCAACAAGTCCAGGGATTTCCGGGGTCCGCCCCTGGGTGTCGGCGGTGTGGATGCATGGGCTGAGGAAATTTTTGTATAGCATATCTTTCTTTGATGTAGATTGCAAGGGCCGGTGTTGGATGCAGGGCTAAGGGCTTGTATCATACATTTGCTGAAAATTTTGGGGCGGTCCAAAGCCCAGTGCAGGCATCTCCGCCCCTGACCCCACCTTTCAATTATTACAGTTGGTTCATCCTTTGATAAGACAAAATCATACACGAATTTACAAAAATCAGTCATGTTGACTAACTAGTTTCATACTCCCTAATATGATTACGGTGAGTTGGATTCCTTATATTTTAGAGATACTAGTGATAATTAAGTTTTTCTTTTGCCCATTTCTCCTATGTTTGGCAAAATCAACTATGTTGGCAAAAGAATTATTTGGTTTTCAACTATGTTTGGCAAAAGAATTGTGGCTAACTTGAATTTAAAATAATTGATAGGAACCACTTGAGTATTCAATGAAACAGATGAATAATTGCAGAAATTATAGAACTGTATTGATTGCAAGATGAATTACAAAAATAAAGGAAATACAGTCAGCCTTTCGAGATGGTCGTACTCTCCACAATACGATTTTCACTTACTATTTTGCATGCCCCATCCTCCCTTTCTTTATTTATAAGCTATCGATAACTGTTTTTTCCTCCCATTTTTACTCTCTAACAAACTAGTTTTCCACCCACTAGTAGGTTATTCTTCTTCTAGGTCCTTCTAGAATGCGTGAGGTGGATATGAGCCTATCAATAATTACTTGTCATTATCTTAGTTTTGAAAATTTGATTAATAGAAGAAACTAGAAAGCGCGATCTCAGGGATCTTCCAAACTTCATTGAAAATAATAACATTTTACTAGATTAGAAGAATATTGTTCTCACAAGTGAAGGATCCTGTAAAGACAACAAAAATGAGAATTGCAATTCTGAATCAAAGAGTTATATAGATTAAGCACGCTCAAGACAAAATACATTGAGGGTCTTTTTAATCACACATAATGAAGTTAAAATAAAAGATCATTTTGTCCGAAGAGATATTACTTTAGGAATTTAAGTTGGATTATTGGTAAGAAGGAACTTAAGAGAATGTAATAATC